GCATTACAAACAATTGCAGTGAGAAATGGATCCGTTTTAGAGAGGTTCCAATGTCAGTTGAAACAGTTAGACATGTAAACAACAAAACATGATCCCATTTTGCATTGTTGCAATTTGAACTTTAATCTCAAAATGTCAACGCTTATTGAATCTGCGGACTGCTCCTTAACTTAAGGAATAAGAATTTTATTGGTTCATAAAAAGAATTTCATCATTGTGACTTTTGAAAACAAATCCTCCGGATTGTGCGGTGGCATTCAGCTTATTTTGAAAGATCTCAGTTAGTTAGTGTTACACTACTATGTGCAACATAATTATGTTCATGTAAATCGGAATACTTCATGGCTATGCTACTAAATTCGACATGTGTTGATATATATCGGTGTGTCTTGTAGTAATACTACTTTATTAAATTTGGGTTGATATGTATTAGCAAGTCTTGTAGTAGTACTACGTTATTGATATACCTGTATTGATATATATCCGCGAGTCTTCGGTTGTTGATACATATATTGGCACATCGAGGAGTTGTTAATATCTCGTTGACACTAAATGCATGGAAAGATTATCATTTTACGTCACCCTTTCAAATGAAACAATATGCCTTATCTGAACTTCAGGCATTTAACGATGAACCACATGTATAACTGCATGAAAAGTATTGACTATGTACAATATGTATGAATATATGTCTGTATTATAATATTTCTGTTACTTCAAATGCGGGAATAACGGCAACAGCCAGGGCACCTAATTTGCTAAGTGACAAGAATCATGCTTTATTGCACGTCACGGCGTACCTGTGATTGCAATTGCTTGTATTGACGTATATTTGTTCAATGGACCGTGCATTACACAGCAACAGCATTAGAAACAATCGTTCTGAGAAATGGACCGCTTTGAGACAGGTTCCAAAGTCAGTGGAAACATTTAAACTTCACCTCCCAAGGCGACTTGAATCAATGCCATGATATATACTTTCTCTGAATGCAATAATGATTAGACAAATTACTTGCACACGTTCTGTCATCAGGCATTCGTGAACCTGAACACGAAAAGCTACTCATTTCTTCCGTAATACGATAGGAAGAAGTAGGATCGAAGAAGCTTAATTTTCTTCCATATCTATACTCCCGTGAAATAATAGGGGCCATTGAAGTGCCCCTTGGCCGTGTTTGTGAATAATATAAGCTATTGATTATTCCTTTTATAAGGTTATTTTTTTTCTTCTAAATCAACTGAGTAATTGTCTGTTTACCTACATGTTTGAGTGGACACAACCTAAATACACTGAAGTGTAAGACAATTTGAAACAATTGATAAGTGGGAAAATGTATGTATGAATTTGTCACGTTATATTTGCATTTCTAAGCAGGTGCGACAATGCGATCTAGAACTATGCTGTCATCCTCTCGTATCGGTGTTGAATGCAGTTCTAAGACACGTGTTAAGATCGTGAAATTAGTTGGAAATGACAACATGCTTGTCAAACCAATCACAATAACTTCCAGCTGTTTCCACCAATCAACGACAGCCAGAGCATCCATATTCCGCAATACGTGCTATAGATACCTGTATTGATCACAGTAGCGTATAGGAAACGGAACTATATATCAACAGGGTCCCGTATTTCGAGGAGTGGACAAACTTAGGTTCCAGTGTTCACCGTGTTACATATAGTGGCAGTGAGTGGTAGGGCGTCAGTCATTCATGAGGCAATCACCATGTGAGGTCTAACTGATTACAGTGACCGACAGGTAGGTTTGTAATTGTCTGTTTTGAGTATTTTGAAATGTCAATATCATTTGTAACCTTGTGATGAAAGTCATGTGCACATTTGTATAATTGAGTTAGTGAATGAGTATGTTTTTACACCGCTCTTAGCAATATTCCAGCAATATCACATATTACTCCCTACAGTACCTACGTGGGAAATCGAACCCGGGTCTTGGGCTTGACGAGTGAACACTTTAGCCACCAGGCTACCCCCCTGCCAGAGCCGTATTCGAAAATAACTGTATTTAGATTGTTCATAGAAAAGAGTGATTTTCTGGCGTTTAATGATCATATCTTGTTTCATAGGTTCCCAAGCTGCACAAAACCATACTCACACGCCCGCTCCAATACAAGGGCCAGGGAATAACAGAGTTTGGACTTAACGGCCTCTTCAACAGTATTTCATTAATGCCATCACGGTCAGCTAAATGTAGAGCAACTTCCAACGCTACGTAGACATCAAAACATTACCAGCGCACTATCAGGTCCAAACGTAACAACCGGTGCCGTCGTTGAATAAATGTCATTCCAGTAAGAGCTGAGAGCAGGTGCTTGTGTCGAGTCGGGCCTGTCATAGAGACAGACCATCGTAATGCTATACTTGACTGAAGGAAACGAATAATAAAGAAAAGGTAGGCTATATTATGGAGATGAGATGCTACAATATGCTCCCTATGCACCTCTTGGGCTCGCTTTTTGATAAACCAACTCTAAACACTATATCCATTCTTGCGGTTCTCGAGATCTCAAAACATCCACCCACTATATTTCCCCTATTATTATGCCAACCAATCAAAATAAGAGATAAGTATAAAAACGACATGGGTAAGGGGTAGTTACCACTTGATGGACATAAGATATCTGAAGGGTTTTCTCTCGTGTGCCAATCAGTTTGTCCACGTTGAATTGACCACTCTATCATAATCAATGGGCCATGTTGTCGTGTTGTTGGTACATGTATAACCAACCTGATATTGAGGCAAGTTTGTAACACGCATTTTGATTGGTCCGTTTGACGGTGTAACATAGCAAATCAAATTGACTGATGAAAATCAAGGGCAGGTAATGTGAGATCACATGAACCACGGGAATGGACCCGAGGATTTGTGTACGTTTCCCGGAATACAAGACCTGAAGGTTAACAGGACGTAATATGAGGACAAGGACCTGAAATACGAGGTTACAGCTGTAACGGAGAACGCTGAGATGTGAAGAGGGAAGACGAGGCCACGCAACATGTTGAGAGATATAACTGTAACATTTAGGCCGAACCCGATACATTCTTTACAAAGCAGGAAATAGGTAGGGGATGTTCGGGGCCCTCGACTCGATTACATAGTTTGTGTTGATAATTGACATCACATACTCTCGTTTTTAAGGTAACACCTGGAACACGCACCTTCCAGACATCAATCAATTCTGATGGAGCTTCAATGTGCAGCCAACCCTAGATACAGTGATCGTCCTGTTACCTGTATCCGGAGTCACCGGCGTATAGCAGAAATGACCCAGTGCCGTATTTCCTTGAACATCTTGGATGTGGCAGCCGACGTGGTTAACAACTCAACTCGTGGCCTATTCAGCACGCGTGGAAGTGGTTCGCAAGTGTTGTGTGTTAGGGTCAAGGGGAGACTTCTGGCTGTTGGATAAAAGCTTCCAAAGTCGATACTTTTGTGCTTAGTGCAAATGACGGTGTTGATTATAGCGAAATACATTCACCAGACGGTCCATGGTTGCCAACACACCACATGAAGACGAATAAATCAAGTGCAGCGATAGACCTTCAAACAAAACCCAGTCTGAGTACGAGCGAGTGACGTTTGTGTTGCAACAATTCTACCAGATTAGGACCAGAGAATTGGAAACTTATGTCAATACACTGAAGAGCCTACCGTGATGAAGTGCTCTCGTTTGTTAAGGAACAACCATTTGCATTTCAGCTCCACTGGAACAATAATGGTATTGATTGGTATCCTTAAAACGTGTTTGAAGTGTGCGCTTGAGAAAATAGCTCAAGACGGTGTTTTGTAAAACTTGTTTGTAGATGTCCTGAAAACAGCTAACGCACGACTTGCCATTGACATCTCATCTTCTAGTACGGAACAAAGTACTTCCTTGTCCGGAATAAACACGTGATCAGTTACGGATAATTCAGTTTCATACTTACTTGCAGGACATGAAGATTCTTTCCAATCAATATGGATAAAGAAACAAAAATACGTTGTTTCTTTACGCCTGTTTCAGATGACCTACTTAAATGGTCAAGGCATTTGTCCATGGTTTTCATTTAAGGAGTGTGCCCAATTAATTTGTTTCAGGGGCGTGTACAGGTGGCGTATCGTGTATCAAGGATTTTTTCAAGGCTTGTGACCAATACGTTAGTCAAACGCTTTATGCAAGGTTCTGTTCAGGGTGTTAATCCAAGGTCTTATTCAAACTCTTCGAGTTTCTTCAAATCTGCTGTCACTGAGGACGACCAATGATGTCTTCCGTCAAGATGTTCACGACGTTGACGTGAAGCGATATGCTTGTTTTTAGAATTTCTGTCTAACATGAAACTTGATATAAATGTTGGCTGCATATTAATATACCGCATAAAGTCTGTTTGAAGTGTAATCTGTGAAAACATCTTGAAAGAAAGAACAAAGCTTATCGATTACATGTATGTCCGTACACATAGGTGATTTCAGCAGTGCACAGACCTTACATTTCACAATTTTAGAATTCTGACTTCACAATATCTGCACAAGATTGGAAATTGACTCCTCGGAAATTCTTACATATTTTATAAAATGTCAGTCGTTGCTAAGTTGTATATGGAATACGCGGCATAACATAAAAATTGAACTAATTAGTAGCAAATTCCAAACAAAAGTCTGCTGTATTACCTGAAGAAAACACACGAAAAATATCAGGCATTTCATTAGTCCATGATACTACAAAGTCGGGAAATAATAGCAGTGAGAAATCCAAGTATATATCTCGTCCAAAATTTCTCCGCCAACACAGCAACTCAGTGAAAGATGTGCTGTTCATTTCTGAAGCTGGAATATTAAGTTATATGCTTGCAAGCGTGTCAAATATCGCATAGTGTTGTCTTCAGTTAGCCAGCCAGGATTTCAACTGTGTAAGCTGAAATTTAGAACGGATCCTATTTTGATTATTCAAGCGTCTCAGCGGTGTCCACATTGTGTCGGAATCATCTACTGCAGGAATATGCCAGACTTACGGAATGGAAAGAAAAGAAACATATCTGAACCATGTGAAGGCATTGTGAGTGACTGAATCACAGAGTGAGATTAAAATGCAATGGGGTGTCTCCTAACGCTCATAATGAACAGTTCACGAAACATAACATCACCAATGCCGGCCGAACAGATGCTGATATACAGCATCGCGATGATTCTCAACACCTTCATCCTGCCCATCATTGTGTTCACGGGGCTGGTGGGGAACACCGTATCCTGCATGGTGTTCGTGGGCAAGGATTTACGCCGCCTCTCCTCCAGCGTGTACGTCCTCGCTGTTCTCATCTCAGACACGGGGACGTTGTTGTGTCTCCTTTCAGTGTGGTTGGAAGTTCTTGGATTTGGAATCAATCATATGCAGGGTATATGCCAGCTGTTCGTATACCTGACCTATGTGTGCAGCTTCCTCTCAGCGTGGTATATGGTGTGTATAACGGTGGAGAACTTCATTACGATCTGCCACCCTATGAAGGTGAAGGTCATGTGCACAATGAACCGCGCAAGCGCTGTTGTGGTTATTCTGGCCGCCGCTGGCATGCTGATGTACTGTGTTACTGTGATCACTACTCATGTGAGGACGAATTCCTATAACCAACAGCTGTGTGATCAGAACCAAGACTTTGATTTCTTAGTGTCTGTGTTCACGTACGTTGATTCCATAGTGACGCTTCTACTTCCGGTGTCAAGTATAGGGTTCATGCTCGTCGCCATGGGATTCTCTATAGCCAATACGGTTCGATGGAGAAAAAACAGCCCACGGACAGACAGTGCACGGAGATGTATAAAAAGTCCACAAGTCCGAGTGACAAAGATGCTATTTGCCCTTTCAACGACATTTTTAATAATGAATGCTCCCTTACATTGCATGAGGTTGTACTACCTTCTCCGGGACAGCACCAATGCACAGATGTCCCACACTGCAGCATTGGTCCATCTGTTTCTGCTGTTCATCTCCTACTCACATTGTGCTGTGAAGTTCTTCCTATTTATTGGTTTCAGTAGAAACTTCAGGAAAAGTTTGAAAGAACTGGGATTCATGTGCTCCGTCTGTACCAAAGATGTGAACAGTCATCCAGCCTATGTATAGACCTGTAAAGAGCCTGCAAGACTCCATTGTTTGGGTTTTTTGTCACCAAACTGAAGACGTTTAACTGTATGCCTTTGCCATAACTGGTTCAACACAACATTGTTCTTAGGGTTTAAAGAATGAAAACATATGGAGAAGTAAGCAGGCCACCTTACTTCTCCATATTTTGACAGACAGAGAAACGGTTAAAGAGGAAGAAAGAGCAGATAACTGTAATTATGTCGACATGCGTTTCATTTTGCCCTATTTATACTGTAAATGGTATGTATTTGAAATTTGTCAATGTACATTAAATTATTGATGAATAGTATCCCTTTGATCGTGTATAACAATAATCTCATTGGATCACATTACATTTGTTGAGAATATTAATGGTCGGCGAAAAAGATATACACCACTGTTTGATTGTGGGTAAAACAGAAACAACAAGAACTGGTATTTCCATGGTGATGTATTTGATACGGGTAGAAACATAAAGATGGCCGACAGATTTTGCGAACTTTTTCATGAGTGCTGTTTACATACCTTTTCACTTTTGTAAGTTTTGAAATCCAAGGGTTAATTGTATTCTTTCTTTTACCCTTCAGTATAATACTCAGTATCATATACAGCCGCAATACATAAATATTTCAAGTTAACATTTACTCTTTGAGGTTTGAAACTTGAACTCATTCTGCTTAGTTTTTGCACGGCGTGCGGGAAAAGGTGAACGTTATGTCTTTGTGCCATTTCATATTTGCTTTTTAAATAATATGGCCAATGTTATGTGTAACAAAGCATTAAAGAACAAATATAACAGAATTCGACTTTTAATTGCAAGGACCATTAATGTGTTGGAGGTATGTGATACAGAAGACATATGATCCCTTACCATTGTCCTTCTTGATGTTGGTTCGAATCCCTGATAGTCTATTTCACCCTGCTTGTGGGTTTAAACAGAGTGATAAACATTCACTGCCTTCACCATTTTGGTCTACCTCCCCACATTAAATTATCACGCTGTGATAAAACTGAACATTGTGTCAGACCCATTCCATCTCATCATTAAATCTTTTTCGACTAGTTTGGGAGTTATGTCCCTTTGCCGATCACAACCGCTGTTGTGGGTTCTAACTGTGGATTCGTTCCTTCGCTTTACGGTATTTCAGCAAACTGAGAAACATGAAGGACCTGCTCATGTGCAGTCCCCGTATATTACTGAAATATGCTACTCAAAATAGTATAAAGAACCCCACTTAATTATTTCGTATTTCTACAGTTTTCTGTAATTTCTTTGGAATAGTAAACTATTGAGACAGTAATAGTAAACGTTAAGACAACTGACTTACTGATAAGTCTGAAGTGCAGCTGAAACAACGGACGCGCCTCTACCGAGATTCCTGCCAACTCGAAGTGATGGTTTGAAGTAAGTCGGGTTTAACCTCACGCATTCACAAACATTAGTTATATTAGGGAGTTGTATGCCATAAACAAGCGCTATCACATAAATCAGCAACAACTTTGCATTTGCTACACAACCACGTAAAGGTCATTTACTTGGCAACACGAGTACTTTGCAGACATTTTGCAAACGTTCGACGAAGATACGAAGACAATCAGCGGGACTAACGGATTACCCGCCAATGGGTCTTTGAATGGCTTTTAGAAGCGATATACATAAGGAAGAGAGTTTTGTGGATGTCAACTTTATTATGAGGTACCCAACATTTTGGAGTATATGCTTAGTCCTTCGTAAGGCATGAGGCACAGAGCATATGTATGTTCAACGCCAGTTAACTGTTGGCATCCCTCGTCTGGCCTCCATCTTTGGTATAATTAATTTTGTTGTTCTTACGTGTACATATAATAAATTCATTCCTTAATGAATACGAATGACGGGACAGTAATAATAAAGATGTGAATTGTGTAAGCCTCAATATAGCTCATACGTGTGTCGATTTGTTTATGGAAGTTTAGTGAAACATAAAACAACAGCAGCAACAAATTATATAAAAGGTAAATTGATAAAATATACAAAGAAACAAAGTTTACTAATTTCCTGTACTCTATTGCATGGAAACTGTCATCAAACTTTACACACAGTGTCTGCATAGTTGTAACTGGTATAACACATGAATTTAAGCCAGTTGTCCCACCAGCTGAGATTGCAGATAGAAACAGTAGCACCGGTTATAATATAGACTCTTTCCAACAGGAAAACATTACTTTTCTCTACTTATTGGAAAGATTATGGCCGATATGCACCAACATGGGTGGGATAATTTATTGCAGCCTGTCGTCACGGGATGCTGGAAGAACATGGACGTGGTCAAGCGGGAGAGACTATTCTGAACAGTGTATAAATATATAAATTCACATTTGTTAACAATTGCATGATAGTAATAAAACATTTAACCGGAAACCAAACAAACTGTGCACATAAATGTTATACTTGTAGAAGTTCGTACACATGTGTACAGGATGCCGCGGGGAGAGTTTGTCATGACATTGTCTTTAAGTGACTTTAAACAGACATCGATGGAGCTATTTATGAGAAGACAGACACTTCCAAGTGACTCGACACACATCCAGCAGGTCTTGTCGTCCTGTTCACTCTATACTTAAAGCTATCAAAACACAAGCATTGAACCTGCATATTGTCTCTATGTGTAGCTGCCACTTTGCAATGAGGGTAATGGACTGTAAACACGTTATTGGATTAATTCACCAACACGACAATACCTTCATTAGCAATTAATCGATCGAGGTAAGAAGAACAGATGTGATCTGTATGGCATAGACTAATCAAAGAAACGACCTGTCCTTATATGTAAGGTTTGAGTAACAAGTCCGTTAGAAGATACCAAGATTAGTTATCAACATGCTATAAATAATCTTATCAGTAAAATGTCCAGGTAATCCCTCTTTAGCAATAATGTCAGTCAACTCCAAATTGCATCTTTTAGAGACGCCCCAATCAGCCTTCAGTTACCAAGTATTTTACATCCACCACAAATGATTTTTTTCAAAGCTTCGTGTTTCCAAGTATTTTTTTTATATCTACCACATTGTTTCAGAGGGAAAGCACAAAAAATATTAAAATAATTGTATCTGTTGAAAAACAGCGAAAAACAAGGGTGCTGAAACACACCAGTACAAAGCTGCATAGGAAGTCTGTCTTCCACACGCATTAGGCTGATGTGTTTGGCCGTTTGAATCGAACATGGTGCCGGTGTCTGTCAGCACCCTAGTTTTTCGATATGTTTTTGACAACGTTTCATTTTAGTCAAACTTAACAAATATTGAATAAGTTTTTTCTGCAAGTTCTAACATGTCGTTTAATGTGTCCTTTAAGCACCCAAAAAGTTACATTTACCTTAGAGTATAAATGAACTCACCACGTTTTAGTTTATATCTGGTTATCCAATTTTACAGTTTTCTCATACTTTTTGTTTGTAGGATATGTTAACATTGTACTTATTTGGGACAAGAAGCCGAATCTGAGCATAAGAAATTAATACATCAGCTGACACGTTTGTTTATCGCCCCACATTTTCCAGAAAATACTTTTTTTATTTGTTTCTTTATATCCTGAGAAAAATAGCTATTTTCAGCTAGATAGACAAAATGTGAAATATGTCATGTCATTTTAATAACTCTGATTACTACCACCTGGACGACAGCGTGAAAAACACAGCCCAAGACTGTTAATCTAAAAAACAGTTCACAGACCATGTGAATCCGGTACCACGGAGACACTACTGATAGTTAGTATTTCTTGTTTTTCTGGTTTCAAAATCTGTTTACAATCTAGGACAATACAGTTGTAAAATAAACAAACATATGTTTTACAAAGGCATCATATAAACTCTTACTGATTTATATGTACAAAGCATATTAATATATACAACTTTTTACTACTGTTACAATTATGTAAGTTGTGTACAATAAAGTTTAAAAGCAATATTTATATATATATATTTCAAGATTTCTCAAGATTTAAATTAGTTGATTGACAATTTGAGTTCATTAAGTTCGTAAAAGATTCCTGTGATTTACAGTGTCACAGTATCTGTATCAAAATATGTAAGGTTCAGACATTTGGGTCGTACAGTCATTTGATAGCACTTCACGGGGTCGGTGGGGTAGCCTAGTGGTTAAGGCGTTGGCTCGTCACGCCGAAGACGCGGGTTCGAATCCCCACATGGGTACAATGTGTGAAGCCTATTTCTGGTGTCCCCCGCCGTGATATTGCTGGAATATTGCTAAAAGCGGCGTAAAACCATACTCAATCAATCAGTGATAGCACTTCACAATATCACACCGGTGTCGGTCAGGGAGAGCCACATCTGAATAGTCTGCAGTCACGGAAACACCTAACTCTAGGGATTCTGCTATTGGTGTCAGGATCTCTGCATGAATGAATAACGAGGGCGCGTGAAATCGGATCGTCTGGAAGCGCTCGTCAAATCGCTTACAGAACAAAAACGAAGTTATCAGGTTGAATGGCCGTATTTGGCCTGACATAATGAGATTGATTGCAACAGTTCCTGCCTCGGAGGGTGTAGAGGTGTTTTGGGAAATGATTGATCCTCTGGGTCTTCCGTCGTTGCCGAGACCCTTCGCAGGACATCCTGCTCTCACCCAGCCGACATATATTATTTACACAATTTCCACCTCTAGGGTTTGGTAGTCGTTCTTGTGGAGGAAATCAGGAACATGTTACCGACGTTTTTTTCTTCAAATCACCAGTGATACTTTAACTCGTCATCGATAAGCCCAGAATCGATTTGGATGTTTTGGAAAATACACGAACGCCGAAGAAGTGAGCTTTCCTTCATAGTAGATAGTGCATGCAAACTTATGTTTCACATTCAGCTGAAACACAAACATTGCTGATATCTAGATGAAATTAAACAAAATATATAAGGTGTGAAAACAAAGCGACCAAAATAGTTAATATAATTGTTTTTTCACTGATTATTACTTACAGGTAAACATTAAGGTGACATTGAAATTTTCTCATAAAGGCATTTTTGGATTTCCACCTGACAGAGCTTCACATGGGTACAATGTGGTGTTCCCCGCAGTAATATTGCTGGAATATTGCTAAAAGTGGCGTAAAACTAAACTCACTCACTCATCTTGAGAAAGAATAAGCTAAAATGGTCGAAGAAACGGACGAAATTTGCAAACAGCGTGACATATTCGAAAAAAAAAATGCACAGCAGTGTTCACTTTAAAAGGCCAGACAAACAGACACCTGTCCTTTCCACTGAAAGTAGTCTTGAGAAGTTCAAAAGTTAGTAAAAATACCTTTTGTATCATTCTGGAACAAGTTCGACATCAGATGCTTGATGGGCATTTACACATGTTCGACATGTCACGACACGGGGAAATGACGGCTAGAGATCGTTATGTGTGCTTCAGCGTGGTACCTCATAAAGTGACGCTGTTGGTCGATTGAACGTCCATAAAAACACCATTAACGACCCCACGTCAAGACCGATGGATTCGAACCACGCACCTCCAAAACCAGGAAAAATACATTGAAACATTTGTCGTTCCATGTATTAACATTTCATCTGGGATAGTAAAGGTTAAACACTGATTCTTTTTGTTACTTATGTGTCACAATAACGTTTTTCCTTTGAGTATATATACACCTTTATTCTTTTCTCTTTTGACTTTGTAATCTACAGCTTGGAGCATATCCAATTAAAATTGGAATTTTATATTTGTAAGGATTAATTACTATTATTTTTATCTTTTACTTAACCATTCGAGAGTGCGTGGCTAATTAAAAAAATCTTTTTAAGTCTGTTTAATCTTGGATCCTTTCTTACTGTAAGAAATCCGATCTGTTACTGAATTATGTGTACCATGTTGTCTCAGAATATAATGCTTTGATACAAACATGAAAAGCTCAAAATCAATTTATTGTTATAAATAATTATTATCATTTCTAAACAAAAACACGTGTATCTATTTAAACGATTGCATCAATATACTTTAAACCGGAAATATTGATTAGATCGAATATTCATTGCTAAATGTTGGAAATAGGACGCCAATATGTTGCATTTTAAGGAGAATAATAACATGTTTAACACACACTCCGACACACACACCGACACACACACACACACACACATACATATATATATATATATATACATACACTGAGGGAAACAAATAAGGGAACACCACTTCTTCATAGCAGTGTTCCTTTAGTTATTCTCAGATTTCCTCCCACAGCGCTATTCAAAGCTGATGATGAAAACATATTAAAGGAATGCTTAAATTCCTGAGTTCTCTCATTCAATTCTCACAGTATACTTTAATGCATTTTTAGTTGACAATTACCTTGTGCAATTACAACAAAATACAACTTCAGCAAACCAATCATCGCGCCATTACAGCAATTTCACTCAAAGAAAAAAACAGAAAATGTATCGCTGTCCTCATTTTAACAAATATCTGGCTGTTTTCTGCAGTTGTGTTCTGTTTGTATCGCGTGTATCATCAAGTGTTTCATCACGTGTCACAGTTGTGACACGAATAACTGACCTTCAGATAAGTTTGAAGTTGTTTACAGTATAGCTTTGACGTTCTTAGTCATGGTCACACCTTCCATTTATTTGTGTCAAACTGTGAAACGGTTAGGGTATTTAATTCACACGGTCAGTTATTTTGACTATCTTTGTCATTTCATTTACAACAAACAACATTTATTTGTCTAAACAGGCCTGTAAGACCCTGTTATTACCCTGTTGTTTAACCCAGCACTCAGCAGTTTTCCAGCAATATGGCGGCGGTCTGTAAATAACCTGGACCACATATCCTAGTGATCAACGGCATGGACATCGATCTATGAAAATGGGATACGATGACATGTGTCAACCAAGTCAGCAAGCCTGACCACCCGATCATGTTAGTTGCCTCTTACGGCATGGATACCTGAAGACCAGTTCTAACCTGGGTCTTCACGGGGTCGTATGTAGGACAATAGGTCTACAAGAAGTTGCGACACAGATTTGTCTATGATATTATTATAATCTATTTATATAGCGCCGAGTTCCAGCTAGGCTGCTCACAGGTGCTTTGTTTTTCTCTCGATCATAGGATGTCAATCTCAACGGCATTTCGTATTATCAATCTCAACTCCCTGGGGGAGCATACAACTCTTGCTGCCACTCGGCGCACTGAGTTAATGTGACTTTCCCATCCTTACGAGGTACCCATTCACAGCTGGGTGGACTGGGACACGTAGTCACAGTACAATGTCCAAGTTTACTGCACGTTGCTGTACCCGCAACTAGGTGTTTGCACGTATTCATGTGGCCACCATCTGGTCATATACCAACGGATTCGTGGGTTCTTTTAAGTGCACAGGGTTGTGTACTGTGCACTAGGGGTTGTGATAACACTGAAAGAGTCTGCACACAAAGTTGACTCCAAGGTTTTTACACCCGGTCACAGGTAGGGCTGCAACGTTCACTATTGCTTCGATTCGGTTCGATGTTCGATTCATACCGTTCGATTCGATTATTTTCGATTCGATTATCAAATCTAAGAAATTTTGCATAAATATATGAAAATTTGATCCAAACTGTAATCAACCACTGTGTAAATGATTACACAACACTTTTTAACTTCAACACATTTATTAAACACTTAAGTAGTGAGTCTGTAGCCCCTCAACATCAAAACAAGCTTCAAGTAACTGAAAGAACTTTGCAATTGCAAGAAAATGTTCATTGTTGATTGTTCAGACAGTTCAACTTCACTGCTGGACCAGATCAGCAGGGATGATAATGTTTTTGGACAGAAATACCAACATGTTGACATTATCACTACTCAAAGAAGCCCTCTGGGCAGTAACAACATCCCCTGCTGTTGAGAAAACTCTCTCACTGGCAACACTTGTGGCAGGTGTGCTGAGGCATTGTTTGGCATACTTGGATAGCAAAGGATACTTCCCTTCTCTGACCCTCCACCAACTCAAGGGATCAGAGTCAAGATTGGCAACTTCATCCTCTTTATACATTTGAAGTTCCAGTTCTGTTCTCTCATAGACACTCTTACCTTCCTCCACATGGGTGACAAACACATCCCCAAAGAGATCTGATAGAGCACAACTTTCTTCTACTTCTCTTTTTATTTTGGAAGGTGGTTCCTGCAGAACATCATCATCAGCAGCTTGGTCATCTGCTGCAGCAGTAGATGTTGATGGAGTTGGTTCTGTGGGAATGCTGGGGAGTCTGGGTTCAGTACCATCAGTGGGCTCAGCTGGCTCAGTCTTCACCTTAACCTAAAGCACATAAACTTATTTTAACTGATTGTGTTTTGTTAATTTATCACATTATATAAATTTTCATGATATGACAGCCACAGATAGATTTAGACTTTTAAGTGGAAGGATTCAATCAACTGCACAGAAATTGACAGAATGGAATAGTTTAACTTTAACTTATCATTTGTGGACTACTGGGCTATTGCCTATTTGTTAAAGTTTTATTTCATTTAATTTTATATTTATATTTATATTTCATTTTATATTTATATCCATATTTCATTTTATATTTATATTTTATATTTATAAAATATTTATATTTTATTTATATTTTATTGTATGTATTGCTTTTAAATGCTTTTAATAAATGTTTGATGTAGAATATTTACTGACAGCTTTCTGTCCAATTGAGTGATAGACCTCATGCCTCTGTGCTTCTGTAAGGTAAGGCAGAGCCTTAAATCTGGGGTCAAGGGCTGACGCATGTAGCAAGAACTTCAACACATCCTCCTTGCAATATCTAAAAAACAAACATTGGGACAATGTTTTAATAATAAGTTACATAATGTGATAATATGATATTATTCAATATTCATATGAAATATTTCAAATAATGTCAGTTCAATGTTGAACAAAGAAATTATACATGAAACTACCATTACAATAAATTCAGTAAATTTGTCAAATATTTCAAATCTCAAAACCAAATTCAATCATTGCTAAATGATGATGAATTATAGACAGTTTCGAGTTTTGTCACATTTAGTAATTTAGAAAAATTCATACCTTGGCTGAAGGTCATTGCTGATAGTTGATTTTAATTCTGACACCAGGTCACTGTCTTCTGGTTTGACTTGCAATTGTTTGAGCAGCATCTCCTTCAGGGGATGTATGAGAGAAACTGTAGGGTTTTTCTGGCTGCACATCAAAGTGGTGACTGTTTTCAATGGTTTCAGAACCTGGATAATTTTCTCTATTTTTGTAATGTCATCATCATTCAGAGTCACAAGATCTTTGACATTCCTTCTAATGTCTATGAGGGTGGCAAAGACAGCAGCTTGCTGTTCCAAATATCTTTGTAACATATCGTACGTTGAGTTCCATCGCGTGGGAACATCACCTATAAGTTTTAGAGTTTTCAAGTCAAGTTTTTGCTGCATTACAGTAAGTTTGCTTGTTGCAGATGTGCTCTTGTGAAAAAAAGTTTACCACCCTTCTCACTCTCCCAAAAGTCTCTACTTGGTTGACTTTCAACCCACGCTGAGTGGCCAGATTAATTGTATGGGCGAAGCAGCCAATGTGTGGTTCCAAACCAGCTTCTTTGACAGCTTTAACAATATTACTAGCGTTGTCTGTGGTGATAGCAGGACCTCGCCCATTTCTTGAAAGCTCCCATGCATCAATAGTCAATGACAAACTTTCAGCTAAGTTTTCTGCCGTGTGGGATTCACTGAATTTCTTCGTTTCTAGAGTGTAATTTTGGATTGTCCAATCTCTGTCAATAAAATGCGCCGTTACTGCAACATAGTTTTCGGTCGCCCTTGACGTTCATGCATCAGTTGTAATGGATAGTGTTTCAGCTTCTTTCAGGTGTTTTTTTAACTCTCGCGACTACGTTTCTCATTATTGCTGGCAGTACTGTGTTGGAGAAGTACGTGCGCGAGGGTAATGTGTATCTGGGCTCAAGCATGTGAATCATATTTTTAAATCCCTCATTCTGAACAGTTGAGAATGGCCTCATGTCACAAGCTAAGTATCCCCCGATAGCTAGAGAAATAGCACCGGAATGACAAGCAGTCAATTTTACCTGTCTCATGACCTCAGTAAGTTTCATTTGCCCAGAATTTGTATTCGTTAACTTCGTTTTTGGTTCGTTTTTTGGTCAGAGTTTCTTCCGAAGTTTTGGTCATATCGAGTCCGTGTTTTCGTTTTAAATGGTTTGACAGGTTAGTTGTATTGCCTGATTTGTATGTAATATCTACGTAACATACACGACAAGTTGCCTTATCTTTTGAATCTTTCCGAAATCCAAAATGTTGCCATACCTTTGATTTTAAGTGGCATGCCGCATCTGACAGCACCACGTCGTCTGCCATGCTTTCTCCGGTGACCAAGATAATTAATTCTCGCCAACGAAGCGGAGATGCACGACTATAAAGATCGTAACAATAGCCAATGAGATTACATGGTACATTGACGACAGCTATCTTTCATCCAATCAGCAATGCGAACGAGTCAACGACAACTATTTTGCATACAATTAACTCTCGGTAGTGAACAGGAAATGTGTGTAAAGGGAGGTCACTCCAGTTTAGTTTCGTTTTCTAGCTTCGAATCGATCGTGAGACTGATGAAAATTAAGTTAAGTAAAATGATGCACTATTGAATTTTTGTTGTCACATATAAAATAAACGTGATTGAATACTCTTTTTATAGCTAAAGTGTTTAATTTTTAAAAAAAATATTGCTAGTGAACCGAATCGAAGTTTGGACATTGTGAATCGAAGATCGATTCATGAGTGTACGGTTCGGTTCTCGGTGCACCGAACCGAACCGTTGCAGTCCTAGTCACAGGTGGGCTCGATCCCGGCACCTCAAGCTCGCTGGATCACTAGCCTGGCGCCTTAGGTGTTCGCCCACCACGCCCACCACGCCCCCATATGATACATGCTCAGTCAATCAGTTGGGATTTGGCTATTTAATGTTTGCATGACGATCATCAACATTCGACCTATAAACGTAACTTGTACGTCTTTAATATTTACGATCATAGCTGAATAGTTTCATATATTTGAATATTGATGTCAGTCAGTACTGCGTAAACTGAATAACGGACTTCCCCGCTGTTTCGTTTTCAGCGCTGTGCTAAATCGCCATGACAACCAGTCGATGAAAATATGCAATGCTGACATAAAAACTTTCGTTGGAGACTGATCATCAATAGTCATCAATATGCTAATAACTGTACAGTGGGATAAAATATATATTTCTGACCTGTCGAATCAGTATTTTATCAGACTGGCTGTCTGATACGAAAGTAGGTATATGTGACATGGGCGCAAAATACAAATTGACGTCATTTGCTGAGTGTGGCGAGTATTTACACACATTGCTGAGTGTGGCGTAAAACTAAACTCACTCACTCTGTTTTCGGACTGGTTGGACAACTGTTTTCGGACTGGTTGCTGTTGAGAGTGTGGCGCTTGTGGTACCTTACTCGGCTGAACTTTGTAACTGGCTTCATCTTTGTTTTAGTGTTCATGATTAAATATGCAGAATGTGAAGTTATTCTTTTAGATGCACACTGTGTGCTCACCGTTTGTTGCCTCAACAAAGGAAAGTAATATGGAATTATAGAAGTTATGTGTAGCACTACGTCAAATATGTGAATCTTCATTTAATCCTCAACACAAATGGCAGAGTAAAGAGTATGACTAGTCACAACTGTCAATATGGTCCTAGTGTGAAAAGTATGTTAGGTCAAAATTGACAATACTGAACAACAATCCCAGTACTAACTCTATATTACCCAATTTAACAAAATACTGACTGGAGTCAAGGCCGTATTGGAAATTGGCCTTGACACTCTAAAATACGTTCAGGTGTCATCCTAGCTTCTAGAGAGACTAGAATCTTCAGCTTTCTGGTCCAGTGGTACAATATATTCACGACGAGTAATGTCCTTCGCTTTACAATATGACTGATGTCGAACAAACTTATAGTTTGCTATGAACATATGTCAGATAATTTGTCAGGGAGAATCATCTCGACGTTTGAAGTCATCCAGCTGGGATGAGGGTCTCGGGTGTTTACCTGCCGAAACGTGCGAACAAGGCATGGTGCTGTCAAACCTAGCTGTCAATTAGAGAAACATCGTGCTAAGGGACCGTTTATAATTTATGTTTAGGGGGGTGATGATGATTTTTATAGAGATGCGTGTACAATGTGAATGACCCCCCTAAAATTTATGCACAAAGTAAGTGACCCCGCCCAGCCATAAATTATGAACGGTTCATAACCGGGATTTGAACCCATTATCGAAGGTCGAGCACAAGGGATGTAACTCTGCACAGCAAATTGTGGCGTATTGAACCATAGAGGTATCAGTGCCCCCAACGTATATGATGCATAAGGTGATCATCTCATTAACCAAATTTAGGCATCTGACCCTTCACGCTAGGGAGGATGTAAATTTATATTAAACCAGCAATGCATAGCAGACAGCCAGATTGTCAGTCTAGTTTGGATAGCTTGAACAACCTGTTTTATGGGGCCTATAAACATTCATACACCACGATAAGTTGTTTGAACACGTTTTCACTTTGTGACTTATCGTTATCTTCATCAGTTAATCATAACTGATATTTGGGAGGATCACCCTGGCTTGTCCTGTATTGCAAAACCGGGCAAAGGAAAACACCCATTGTTGATGTTTGATGGTAGCTAAACATGATACGAACAAATAGAGGTTATTGGATGTTGGGGTATTTGATACAGGCATCACAGATATATTTTGGCCCCTGTGTTTCAGTATTTCACATACAGTTTCCAGCCTTGACATGTTTAATGTACATCAGTGTTTTCATTGTTAAATGCAGTTTTGAAACATTTGCTTTCTTCTCTGGTGTTAGGTGTTTAAGGGTGTCTCCCTTTTCTTGTAAGCCGCAGAATATCTGCTGACCTACAATGTAATTCAAAATTAAGATGCTATCGTGTCACTGGATTAGCAGGACCCTATTTGCTTCGTAAGCCCTGAAGAGTGAGTGAGTGAGTTAAGATTTATAGTCACATCGGCCATATCGTGACTTTAAAAAGTTATGAATTCATAATAAACGCAACTGAATTATATAGAACCTGTCAACGACGGACAGTAAAATAACTAGATTATCACAGATAGAGAAATAAAACTAGCATGTAACTGTAAACTTAAACAAACCTTTATGGACAATACAATATAAAACACGGGTTGGATATCAGCAGCAACTGAAGTTAGATCACCATACTAGGGACCATGGGGACTTATAGTTAACTCTTGAAGATCTGGGACAGAATTGATCTTCAGCAGCCATGCATATCCTAAGAGGCGAATAAGGGATTGGGATCGCTGATTTTTTTAATGCATCTCATCGTATCCCATCGTGTAGATCGATGGTCATGATGTCAGTCATTGGATGGAACAGACTATTCACAGACGGCCGTCGTATTGCAGGAAAAGGTGCTGAGTGTAGCAATAAAGACAATCCAGTGATCAACAGCATGAACATCGATCTGCGCAATTGGGAACCGAAGCCAGTGAGCCTGACCACCCGATCCCGTTAGTCGCCTCTTGCGACAAGCATGGGTTACTGAAGGATCATTCTAACCCGGACCTTCACGGGTCGTTTACAGAACAAAAATCATTGCTTGGTTCGCAAACAAGATACCAGGAATCAACTGGAAGGTATTAGTTAATGCCAGTTTGACTTTTGCATGAACTTCGATTGTGGATCAAGTGAAAGCCATTTTGTCATCCTTGACAAAAATGATGTCCGATGCAATTCCGTAGTTTGTCTTGTACCATACGTTCCATTATTTCAGCTGAACAAGTGACTAGACTTTTCAAATGTTTATCCCGGTGCCACCGATGGGGCAGGATTCGCTCGCTCGCCCGAACACCTGGAATCATCACTATTTCATAGTGATTCATAAACACATGATCTGTCACCGTATCGCACGGTGACAATTACTGGATTGTCTGGCCCAGACTCGATTGTTTACAAACAACATCGTACAGCTGTAACACTGAAACACTGAAACAAATATCTGCTCATGATATAGTCCCAATTGTACAATGGACCCTGCTTTTAGCAGATATTTCTTATGGATGTGGAAAGGGTTTTGTCGCTTCTACTTAGCGGGTTCCACAGATCGGGCAGCATATTGTCACCTTTTCCTGGTCATCTACCATCATAACTGACTGACTGACTGAGTTTAGTTTTACGCCGCTTTTAGCAATATTTCAGCAATATCACGGCGGGGGACACTAGAAATGGGCTTAACACATTGTGCCCATGTGGGGAATCGAACCCGGGCCTTCGGCGTGACGAGCCAACGCTTTAACCACTAGGCTACCCCACCGCCCCTCCATCATCACTAATTGGTAGTGAGTCATAAAAAGATGCTTTGGTCTGAATAGCATAATGGGCTCTGTTCTGGGCGGAGATGTTTCATATATATGGAAAGGTCTTGTCGATTTGTATTCTAAATTCTCTCCAAACGTATTTCCTTGCACAGCAAATGTTATCTCCATCTGAAAACACCGAATCAGTGAAGCTGAAATCTCCCAGGATTATTCCAAAAATAATGGCACTTTAATTTGTTTGAAAGATTGAAATTCCACTTTCCTGGTTGTTGATGTGGGCAGATCAACGAGGCAATACGAGCTGTAACACCTGGGGCGGATGAGGTGTGTAACGGGAACTGATATAAACCCGGTAATTACTGCTTTGATAGTCTCAGACAAAGTGCACCTGTTGCATTCTGCTTGTGTATCCACGAGTGAGTGAGTTTAGTTTTACGCCGCACACAGCAATATTCAAGCTATATGGCGGCGGTCCGTACATAATCGAGTCTGGACCAGACAATCCAGTGATCAACAGCATGAGCATCGATCTGCGCAATTGGGAACCGATGACATGTGTCAACCAAGTCAGCGAGCCTGACCACCCGATCCCGTTAGTCGCCTTTTACGACAAGCATAGTCGCCTTTTGTGGCAAACATGGGTTGCTGAAAACCTATTCTACCCCGGATCTTCACGGGTCCCACGAGATCTGAGAAGGGTGTAAAGAAGAAAAGAGTGGGTGCGTTTTAGTATGGGCATAAATAATATCAAATACACAAGACCAAAAGGGGATAGCATTCAACCTCAGCTCGATGTTGATGATAATGCAAGTATTGCATACACAATGCATTCTAGAAAGTGAGTGAGTGAGT